TTGTCATAAGATATAAACAAAGAACATGAATTATGAAGTTAAGGACACGCCAAGACTGAAAAAAATATTAAAAAAATATATATTTTTTTATACCTTTAATAACATACATTCCAGGAAATAGTAGAAATATATGTGCAAAAACATTATCTTAAACATTGCAAGCTCTATTGTGATTGAGACATTGACATTGTAAAATCGACATTAAATTATATACAAGATGATATGGGGTGTGCGGTGGTTATTTCGAGTAGTTTTAAACGACATGGTAAATTACATATACACACGTAGAATATTACATGTAAAAACATTGTTAAGTAAAACCGTAACGAAAATGTTATACGCTCCGCCACGTGACGTGCATTTAAGATTACTTGAATCGATCGGGAAATTAATAGAAGGGCTACGTTATTACAGTATTTGTGGTAACAATTGCTCATGCTCCAATTTACATATTACATACACTCAGGATGAGAAATTCCAACATAACGTAAATTGAACGGGTCACTTTTAAACATTAGCCTATATTGAAAAAATACCGGAAATGGGAGCTAAACCTAAATGTAAACCGATGATTTTTATAGGAATTTGAAATTACAGTCAATTCGGTTTAAAAACGAAACCCTCAAAAATACCGAATAACGGGTGGTATCATTATAAATGGGCTACCCGGAAACTTGGGCCAATATTAATAATTTTTTGTATCAAGATTGACCACCAAATAAGAAGCCTAAATATAAAATTATATACAATTAGATTGTAAAGGAAACAAAATACTGAATATTGTTGGAGACCGTTATATGGGGCCTAGTCTAAAAAGTGGCTCAATATTGATAATTTGTATTCGGAACAGGTAGAACCCATGAAATCCAATTACAGCTAATTAGGTGTACAATACATTCCCAAAAACTTCAAAATACCGAATATTTGGGAATATCGTTATGGACAGATAAACGGGCATGGCTATATCGAGATAGAATTGTATTTTTATGAGGAACTAGCTGGACGCGTGGCGCTTCGCTGCCCCTGCTAAAAAGTGATTAACATGGGAAAGTTCACGTAGAAAACTATTTATATGCAGTTAAAAGCTATGATATAGGCTTTTTAGTAGCCTAATTCGTAGATTACTGTTCGGCTATAGATATTTCGTAGTGTAATATCAGTAATTATTTCGTATAGCTGGTTAATGTATACGTTATTCGATTCAATAGATTACAAATACATTTTTAAAAACAAATTTTGATTGGCTTATCTCAATAGGATTATACACTAATATATTTTTTTCCAATATTTAAATGTTTTTCATTAATCATTCAAAGACCAACACAATCATTCATTCCCCTTATCCCCAACCTTTATGTCTGTATTCCCAACTGATTCCTCATTATGTTGCTGGGATCCCTTCCTTGCTCCAATTGATATCGCTTAGATCCTGCAGTATAATTCCTGTTAAGGTTTTCAAAAGAATGCATTATCACATTATAATATTTTTACCGACCTAGATTTAGTCTTGGTCTTAACTGTACATACCTTAGTATTTCGAAGAAAACCATCAGCATTTCGCTGCTTTTATTGCATCCATATTTATTTTCCCCAATGGCTGTAGAATTATTGAAAATCAAAACAAAAAAGAGTTCCTTAACTGAATTTTTTTCCAAAATGACAAAGAGCTCATCAAAGCCAAAGCATACAGTCATCCAGGTCTTAACAACGTCAGGATTCTATCCACGCACAACACCAGCTATACTCAAGTTCTCGACAAATTTGGTGACATTATAAATAACGTCGCAGAAACCAACATTATCGCAACACCATCTCGTAGTATCATTACAAAACCAGACTTCTTCCAAGGGGCTGTATCCAAAAAATCGGATGCTAGTCTGGAAACTATCAACCTCCTGGTGAACGAGAAAATTAATAAACTAAAACTTCAAGGATATAACATTTTTTTCACTGATGGCTCAGTCTCGGATCACACATCTGGGGCAGCATTCCTCCATATAAACTCAAACTCACTTGAATCCTTTTACAAAAACAAAAAATTGTCTTCAATGTCAGCCGAAGTGTTAGGCTTTCTCCAAGCACTAACGTATGCAAAAGAGAAAGCGTTTACCAAAATCGCCATCCTATCAGACAGCCTCAGCGGGATAAAAGCAATTAATTCCAAAAAACACAACAATTACTTAATCGACAAATTTATACAAATCGCAAACTCAACTCGTTTTACAATTGAATTACACTACATTCCCGGACATTCAAACATCGCCTACAACGAAACTGTTGACCAAGCAGCTAAAAACGCAACCACACAAGGCTCACTTTTACATATCAATTGGCCTATAAATGATGCCATTTCAATAATTCAAGATTCACTTTGGGACGAATGGACTAACGAGTACTCCAACATTACCCTTCAAAGCAACTCTCATTTTTACAAAATTTTCCCAAAACCCAATAGAAGAACATGGTTCAAAAACTCAAAACTTACAGCCGGTGACCAGAAAATCATAAATCGCATTTTTAGTAATCACTCATTCAGCAAAAGCACACTCTCAAAATTAAAAGTTATACAATCTGGTAACTGTGACACTTGCAATTCAGAAGAAACCGTCTCTCACATACTTTTCGAATGCACCAAATACAGCAACACGAGAGCAACCTACCCAGCCTTCAGTGATATCCTCTCAGTCGAGGATTTCATGAATAAACACCAAGGAGACCATTTATATCAACTAGTTAAATTCATAAGAGAAATCAAAATTGAAACTTAACCTTTAAGGCACATAGACCAAGTCTACACAATTTGTCGTGGCTCTAAAACGGATTGCAAGTCAGGACGGCGGGCCATCTCTACACCTTTCTCTAATCAACAGACAAAGGCATTAATCCAGAAAAAAAATGTTATTAAAATATGTGAAGATAATGGAGAGATAACAGCAGACGTTCGCGGAATTACTGAACTGGTGGTTTTTTCTCATTACTGATAATAACATAATAGAGCAAAAAATTATGAGTCGAAAATTTCTGATTTGGACCAATTTCTACTTCCAGGTAGTTTATGATTGGATTTGTACTTATCTGAGTGTCATACATACTTTTATGAACAGATTTATTCAAGATATTCTAATATGTTCATAGAAAATGATTATTAGTTCAGATGTATGATTACGGTTTATGCTTTAACTCCTCGAAATCGCGGAATTTTGGAAGTTTATTTTGCCTATCTTACTTCCGTGGGATGGCATGACTGACTGCAAACATTTTTGCCAGTCAATTCAGCGATTTTGGGTCTAAAACCAAAAGCGTTTCTTTTTTCTATATATGGGAGTAAGTTCTCCCCATTGTTTCACGCCAATTTTTATAGTGATAATGCGTATTTGTAACCAATTTACTCAGGCAAATTTTGAAGTAGGAATCTGTAACCCTTCTTAAGATATAAGATATGTTATTTCAGAGTTGGGAATACTTGAATTTTGAGGTATGTTTAGTATTGATGCTATAACTCTGCAACCACGCGGAATTTTTGATATTTATTTAGCCTATGTGACTTTCAGGGCATGTCATGACATTCTGTGTAAATCTCATTTACATCTGTTTAGCTGTTTTTGCGTCTATCGAGAACATACACACAAACAAACACATTTTTTTTTTGTTTTATATATATAGAAGATACACTATGGAGTCTCAGGTGAACATTTCGAGGTTTAATATACACTGCAATTTATGGTAGAGGATATTAATGTGATTTACTTACCTCTGAATTTATTATTGAAAATGTTCCAAATGAACCCATATTTTATTGCGTTGCCAACAAGACATATCAATATAACTTGGCAACTCTAAAACAATAATGTAGTTGGTAGATGTTAAATCGAACTCATATTATTGTTGCATACATTCAGGCGCAATGTAAATAACACTGGGTGACACACAAACACAATGAATGAACATCGTTGGGGAATTTTGTGCAGAAATGCTATGTACAAATCAAATCTATAAACGGAGAATATATTCGAATTGTTTAGTATTTTTTATAAATATTAGGATTTATATAATTTAGGATTATATTAAATTAATTTATGTTTTTAAAACAAGAATATAGAAAAAAAACTGTCCAAAATATTTAAAAGAAAAACTCTCGTCAATTTATATCTGACGTAGTCAAGATTTTTTGTGGGAAATTCATTTAGTAAAACCTTGATTTAAAATCTATTCTTTTTTAGGAAATGTTCGAAATACACCTAAGTCTGTTTTTACACGGTAGATTGGTTCCAGAAGAAGCCGTATAAAAAAAAAACCGTGTAAAAAAGGGAATTCCCCTAAATTAGTGTTATTCACATTTGCTTTGACCAGTAAAAATTGTTTGTACGAGCTAAAGGGGAATTCACTTAAATCTTTAAGCTAGTGTTCGCAATCTATCGATGGTTTCAGACTTTTTTCTTTCATAAATACTTTTTTGTGATATGAACATACTTCGCAAAAATTAAATTTGACAAAAAAATTTGAGTACATAAAATATCAAATCGTGCTAAATGGAATAAAATTGTGTAAAAAAAATTAAAATATTCAATTTTCAAACCGTGTTATATCAAAACCGTGTACAAAAAGACCGTGTAAAAACAGACTTAGGTGTATTTACTTTGAAAAGGACTGCTTCCGGAGTTGAGAAAAATTGTCGATCCTTGATAAATTTGAATTTAATTCGCAGACGTAATTTTTAATTACATCTGATATAAATACAACTTATCAACGAAGGACCTTTGTAAAGTCACAAAGCCCAATATGCTTGATGAGCCGCTTAACCAATAGCGAAACGCATCACATAATGGTGAGTACGTAGGTTCATCCCCTGTCTTTCATTTCATAGCAACATTTGGATCATTTAGCTCAACCCAAAGAGAAAAAACAAAAATTTGATTTTGTTTCTTTTATTTTGTTTTTCCATTTTATTACAATAATATATAACTACATATATATTATAAGTATTAATTGTAATCTATGGCTTATGTAGTAAGTACTTCATTCATTTCCGCATGAGCTTTGTGATCTTCACTTGTATACCTTTTTGGCAATGTCCAAGTTATATTAGAAAACAAACCAAAAGGTTTTAATGTATATAATAAATAATCCAATGTATACAATTCCCGCCAATTTATATAATGAAACGAGATTGCATGGGGAGAACAACAACTAACATTCTGAAATTAAAATAAAACTAATTTAACGTCACATAAAAACATAAATGTGAAAAACTCACCTCATTGACAGAATGGTAAATTTCAGTACCATACCAATCCATTTTGAAATCGGGAATAACGTGTGAGGGCGATACAGCTATAAAACGTTCCATGTGTTTTTCATCTCTGGTATCCCCAAATGTAACGTTGATATTTCTTAGACAATTACTTAGGGCCATGTTTTCATCCGCCTCCAATTCATTGCAAATTTCACTGTTATCATAAGCTTCGTTGATGAATTTCATTAGAGCATTTTTGCTGAGTACATAACCAGCACCGGAGGCCATGAATTCCTAAAAAATGTATGGAGATTTGATTGATTTAGATTTTTAAAGCGATCCAAATTTCTAATATATGTTCACCCAAATCCAAATTTAGTACCAGTTTGTACACATTAATATAAATATCCACAACTACCTACCTGAACAGTCATAAGTACGAATTTCCAAAACTTCTCACATACCCCATTCATAATTCCAAATTATATAAAATTTGTACACATAAGTATAAAATTCCATTATTACCTACATCATCCAATGCAATGGAAAACTTATTACCCAAATTCCCGATTCCAACTCTATTGGTTCAATCTAAATAAAAATTTTACCAAATTTATTGTCATTTAGTATATTTCTCCAAAACTTCTTACAAACCCCAATTCAAAACCCCAACAGTGATACTAACTCAACATTTTAGGATTCTAGCTCTAACGGTTCATCCAAAATTCAAATAGTACCAAATTTAGTACACATAAGTACGACACACAACATCACAGTTCAACGCTTCAAAAGTAATCATAATTCCACGTTTCAGGATTTCAGGTCTGTTGGTTCAACTAAATCCAAATTTTATCAAATTTAGTACCATTTAGTATCCACAAGTACAAATTTCCAAAACTACACACATACTCCAATTCTACACATCAACAGTAATTTATATTTCAAATTGTTTACTATTCCAACTCTATATCCAAATTGTATCAAATTTAGTACTATTTAGTACCCATATGTAAAAATTTCCAAAACTACATCCATATCCCCAAACCTACACTCCAAAAATAATCTTATTCCAAATTTTAGTGTTCCAGCTCTATCGGTTCACCTAAATCCAAATTGTATCACATTTAGTACCATTAAGTACACATTAGTATAAGTTTCCAAAACTTTCTACAATACCCAATCCTACATGTGATCACGCTTTCAAAATCATCTCCTTATATTGACCCTACTTCTCAACCTTAGTTCGCATTCCAAATTTCAAGTTTTTAGTTCTATCCATTCACAAGATACGAAATTGTACCAAATTTAGTACATTTTAGTACTTTTCGTATACTTATAGTTCGAATGTTAAAAAAAACCTTTGTTACATCTATTCTACACTTCATTAGTGACCCTCATTTCAAATTTAAGAGTTCTACCGGTTCGCCAAATACAAATGGTACCACATTAGTACTTTTCGTGCCGTTCTAGTACGAATTTTCCAATACTCAACCTTATCTGACTCCTTTGGTCCAATAGTGACCCTCACCTCAAATTTCAAGATTCTAGCTCCAGACGTTTCGTCTGGACGTTGATGAATTGTTAAGTCAGTCTGTCAGCCAGTCAGTCTATCACTTTACTCTTTTATTAGAAATATATATTTTTGATAGGAATTACAATCTATGTCCGTCCGTTGAAATTCCGATGTAACTCGTAACATTGATACTACTCCTCGGAATTATTAGTAGTAAAAGTGGGGTAAATCGTTCCACTTTTTTATATAGCACACATATATAATTGTACCCTAAAATATTCGGTATTTCGGGATGTGGGGCATGTTTTCCTACCGAATTTGCTTTAATTTGGAATTTTGGGATTTAATGAAAATCTTCCTACCAAAAATTATCTATATTCTTTTTAAAGTAGCCTGATATATCGCAATGCCTTCCAAATTTCGGTATTTGTGTAGTTCAAACAGATTTGCTGTCATTTAGTATTTAGGATTCTCATAAGGTTGAACTAACTAATTTCGTCCAAACTTTGCACGGCGGAAATGCCGGTCCAATCTTTGAAGAAGGGGATTTTTTTCATTGCAGTGTGATTTTTTAATATTTTTTAACATATTTCAATGTTTGACTTTTACTTACAGGTTGTCCAATTCTCTTCAATTTGCATCCAAAATACAGAGGGTCGTCAGCGGAATAGCCATAAAGAAACATGCGAAGATTTTCCATTATTACATATCTGAAATAAAAATAATTAACTTTGACAAAATAGTTGTATTCAATAATTCGATAAAGTATCATATTACGATTCTATGAAAATGCAGACATATCGTCTACAATCGTCCGTCAGTTGGAATTACCTGAGGTTAGACACTTGTTATTCTTAGAACATTTTCAAACATTTTTATACCCTACACAACTATGTTGTCAGGGTATTATAGCTTTGGTCCTAGACCCACCTTTAAATATACCGATCGTCATATCTCGACTAGCTGAGTCGATCTAGACATGTGTGTCCGTCCGTCCGACCATTATAATTTGTAAACACGATACAGACCACAGTTATAGACCAATCTTCACGAAATTTTCCATGTAGGAAGGGTTCGGCCCAATGAAGACCTCTATTGTTTTTGGTAAACATCGGTTTATATTTAGGGGATGAAATGGACAAAATACTTAATTTTTGTCGGTTTTTCTGGTCGCTGCAGAGGCCGCAATTATGGCCCAAACATCTCGAATTTTTACATGGAGGAGGGGATTGGGCCAAAGAACAAGTATGCCTGTTTTGATAAAGATTGGTCAATATTTAGCGGGCCAAATGGACCCTGACTTTTGTGTGAAAAATGACAAAATGTTTATTCTACAGCGTATATATTTACTCCTGAGGGACATAGATACCTTTAAATGGATACTAATTATATTGTCGTATGTACTCGGATGTGGGAGTTACACGTAAATATTTACAGGTACTTACGTATTCAGATATTATTTAATAAACCATTACCACACTAGAAGGCGGAAATATAGCGCGGATCGCTTTGAAATGTTCCATGAGGTTCCAGTTATAGTCAGGGACAACGCCTATAATTTTCGGTGGGGATCAGATAATAATTTTGCGATGAAGTGGACCGAAAATTTATTTTTTTGTTTTTTTTTCTATTCGATCTACAGGCTACAATTATAAGCCGAGCATCACAACACAAACCACGGCGGACAAGTAATTAGAAGAACTGTACTGAATATTGGTAATATTCGGAAAATATTTCAGTGTAAGGAAGAGGTGCTGTTGACCTCTAATCGGGAAAGAGGGTGCAACTATCACGAAATATTACCAAGGCTCGGAATAAACATCTGCAAAAAGATAGAGTTCAGTGGTAGTTGTGTAAGGTATCGTATGGTCGGCCCCGTCCGACTATACTGCTCCGCTTACTGGTTTAGTATAGATCCACCATTTGTTGTTTGATTTTTCGACGGAAATTAAGATTTGTCAATTTTTTTACTCAAAAAGTTCAATTCTTTCATTTCATTCTTAATGTAGTTGCATTATTTAAGATACAACTATGGAAAGTATAGGTCTACGTTTTGGTATAATGATCCAAAAGATTTTAGGCATTTTCGTTGGGGGTATATAAATTCGGAACTGCGGAACATAACAGTGTTTTAACTTGTATTCTCATATAACGTTCGATTTTTATTTGAATATTTTTTGTAGCACAGTGTTGTTATACTAAAATATTTGTTTACTTACGTATCATCGTCAGCTCTTAAAAACCAGTCGGCATCTTTTAAATGATTATCGTGTATGTATTTCAGAGCAAGTCTTGTTTTATTCCACAAGCTATTCGGACCGTCGTCAACAGGTAATGCAATGCTTGGCAATGTCGCATCCGTTTGCGTGCTCATAAAAATTAGAGAATTGCATCGGTGTCCCCATGTATTCTTAATGTGTATGGCCCTGCTATGATGATTGTCAGGATGTGTCATTATCCAACAAAGAACTCGTGTACTATTAAATAATTGTTCAACAATGTTGTCATTGGATAGTCCATTACTCTTAGAATATATTTCTTTTTTACTAGACTCATAATTTTGGTTAGCAAAATTTAGATATTTTGTTGAATTAAATTCATTGCTCATTCTGTGACACTCATTTATTTCATTGAAGAAAATTATTGTAAATGATATGCCAGTAATTAAACCAATAATCAAATATAATGCACTTTTCAAAATTGAGGGTAACGATGTGAAGCAAACTGTTGATATTGATTTTGTCATATTTTTTAGGTTTAGTTTGAATTCGCCGTTTCGTAGTACCTCTTCTGTTAGTGCTGCTTTTATCTTTGCTTCATAAACACAAACTAAGCGTTTGAATTCAAAATATTGAATCCATGAAGATAAGCTTAACAGCGATGACATTAACATCTTCAGCAGGTTTCGATTTTTATCATTCATTGGAGAGTAGTAGTACTATGTATAATTCAGTGGAGTCGAATTGTTTATACTCTTCATTTTAAATATATGTATAATACAACAAATATATATTATAATGAGAATATTCTTAAGGCGCTGTCCGATTAAGCACTTGCAATAAATATGAGTATGTTACCTTCCTTTTATTAAATAAAGCAATTGGTTGTTTCCTTTTATTGAAATTGGTTGTTTCCTTTTATCAAACAGAAACAAATTGTGTGGAATGGATTTGGCCCGAAAATATTTCGATTTGTATTAATTTCCACATATCAAAGCCATAAATCGGATGGTGTAACAAGTGAAAAAGAGGTTATGTTTCGCCGGGTCAAATAAACATTTCAATGGGTTACAAACGGAGTGACAAAAACCATTGAGCGGGACAGTATTTTTGGACGGGGCCGACAATATGATACCCTACACAACTCCCACGGAATACTAACTTTCCGTGTACGGGCAATATTTCGAAATATTTGCACACTCTTGACCGATTAGGGATTAATTGCTCCTCTTTATTACTCTGGCATATTTTCGGAATATTTTTCCCCGGGGTGAACTTTTACGCCATAAGATGATTTTTTTTTTTTTTCATTTTACACAGAAGGGTCTTGGATAATTTGACCCGCTGAATATTGACCGATCAAAACAGCTCTTCTAATTAGTTGGCCAGATTCCCAACTCCATGTGGTATGTTGTGATGTTCGGCTTATTATTGTAGCCTATATAGCGACTTAAAAGTACAAAAAAAAATAAGTTTTTGGTCCATTTCATCCTCTAATTATCATCTGATCATATCTGAAAATTATAGTCGTCGTCTCTGATCATAACTCGAACTTCGTGTAAAATTTCAAATCGATCAGCGCGACATATATGCCCTATAGGGTGGTAATGGTATTCAGAATAGCTAAGACTCTGGAAATATTTACGTATAACTCCCACATCCTTTCGTGGTGTTCGGGTCATAATTGTGGCCTCTAGAGCGA